GGAGAATAAGCTCATATGACTGCTTGCCAAATATTAACGGGCTTCCCCTTCCCTTGTGCAAGCTCTTGTAGTCCCATTGTTCCCTTTAGATCATCACCCGGATGAGCCGGTTAACTTTGAGAAGAACTTTCAACTTTCTGATAGCTAACCCTCAAGCACAAGCCCTTGACTCTGGGGTAGGGGGCTGGGTAAGGAATGCACAAGGTTTAACAAAGCCTTGACCACCATCAGGAGAAAATCCCAAACCTCAGCTGGCAGAGAACAAGTCCCTGGGGCCATGCTTAGTGAGCATTAACAGTAAGCCAGAATGGGTGGTCACCTTTAATGAAGATGTAGACTTCACATTGAAAAGCTTTTCTTTACCTGTCTCTAGTAATTGCCATGTCCTTGAGCCCACAGTGTAAAGCCCAGCTGTGACCCTAAAAGTATATATGTAAAGGACTTCCTTACTATGAGGCTTCCAGCCCTGTCGTGCAGGGGTATATGCGCCCTCGCTTGTGATTTCTTATTTTATTCCCTCAAAAAGCCTTCTGTGAGTGCCAGGTGTGGGCAGCCAGTTGCCAGATGCTGGGGAGGCAAAGATTCAAGTCACTGCTCCTGCCCTCCAGCTGCTCACTGCCCAGGAGGGAGACAGGCAACCACGAGTGTGGTAACGGCTGCAGAAAAGACAACACAGAGCACTCTGAGAGCACTGAGGGGGAGGATGTATGTAGGGCCAGGACAGGAAAAAGTGATGTCTGAACCAAGTTCTCAGGTATGTGGTAAATTGGATGGAGGCAGCAGGAGATAGTTTTGTAGGCCAAGGAAGCAGCCCCTGAGTATGCTTCTGCTAACACACGTGTCACATTGCTACAACGACTTATTTAAACAATTGTAATTCTCCTGAGAAGTGTGGGTTTCTTGGGTGATAGGAACTGTGTCTCATTCGCCTGTGATTAGATAGTGGCCAGTGTTGGTGGAATTGATGGATAGATGGACATGTGGATACTCACTGGCTAGGGAGAACATCTGTGTGATAATTGAATGATAAACTGACTCACAGTCTCATGAACTGTGCCTTCATGTCTGTTCTTGCCAGACCAAAATGGTTATTTCTAATGATATAATGTGTGTTTTGTTCACTCTCCAGGCAGCAGGAAATGCTGTGAAAAGAGCTTCAGACAATCTTGTTCGTGCAGCCCAGAAGGCAGCTTTTGGCAAAGCTGATGATGACGATGTCGTAGTGAAAACAAAGTTTGTGGGGGGCATTGCTCAGGTTTGTGATTAAATCCAGAACAGTGCTTATTCCCAAGATGAGTGTCATGCTGTAACAGAGACACAGAATAACAGTGACTTAAACGAAGTGGAAGTTTATTTCTCCCTCCTTTAACAGTCTGGGTGTAATCACTCTAGGGATGGCATGGTGATTCCATCATGTCTGAGACCCAGATTCCCAATGCCTGTTCCACCATCCCTGAGATGCTGTC